CTGACCATGGGGTAACAATCATTCCATCCTTATACTTTTTGAACGAAGAGGAATTAAAGTTTCTATTTTTATAGCTTGCTGATGATATATTGTTGGTCCCTCTAAAGTTGTCACGGTATTTTGGTTTGCCACTAATATTTGACACTCCAATTTTTCGAATCGAATTTTTTTTCGTCTCCATAAGTTTTTCAGTAGAAATATCACAATTATCTTTATCGGGAATGCTAGATACAAAAAATGGCACATTTTCTCTGTCATTTGTGGATAAATTATGTCGAGTAAGACGGGAGTCAATAGAAAATGACTTCATATTTTCAAAAATTAAACCGGTAATATCACTGATACAATTACTTGAATTGGATGTGTCGTTAACCTTTTGATGTGTAGGTTTTGAATACTTATTATTTTTTAATTTATATTTGTTTAAAAATTGGGAAATTCTTTCGCTTTTAGTGCTCGAATCTTTAGACAAGTCATTGTCAGAAACTAATTTAGTAGATAATATAGTATCTACAATCGATAAATCCTCATTATAATTTTTTGTATTGTTTATTTGGCATAAATTCAGGGATAATTCTAAAGGCCTTTTTTTGAAATAAGATGAAATGTCTGTTTGAAAACTCTTGGAAGGCTTTTGTGAACTAAATATAATTAATAAAGATTCCAAATTTAATATTTTTAAATAATTTTATAAATAAATGCAAATTACTTAATATTTTTCTTTTTTTTCTGATTAAATTTGTTGATTGAATATTCCGAAAAATCATTATTCATGTTATATAAATTTTGGGTAATGTCTTAAAAGAATTTTTCAATTTATAATGCCATATCAGTTTTTAAAATAAAAGCAGACGATTTAAAAAATGTTTATGAATGAAACAATTGGTTAAATATGATGTTTTATATTAATTTATGAGTAGAACAAGAATGATGAATGAATTAGAATTTTATCCTTTATTTAATTGCGGACGAATCCAAAATTTTTCTATTTTATAATAAGCTATCTATATTGAAATATGAAATATAACGTATATTATATTACTAAATTATTTTAAATATTTAATAAGAAATAAAATTAATCTTTGCTTTAATATAATTAATCTGCTTTCCTGATGCAATTTCATTTTATTCCTTTATTTTTCAAATTTTGATTTTCAAACAGTTATAAATATTTTAAAATATATTCACTGTTAATTTAATATAAGTGGACAAGATATTATACTAGTGATCTGCATCGGGCCTAATTTTTCAAATCCGGCCTGGCCCAAATTTTTTTTAAAATGTTTTGACCCGGCTCGAACCCGAATTTTTTTTAAAAAAAATTTACCGACCAGGCCCGAATTTATTTAAATATAGAAATTAATTTTTACAATTACTCAAAATAAAAGACATATTTTATATGGCATCTAGTTTATATAAATAAAATCAAATAATTTTATTTTCGATAAAAAATTAATATAAAATTAATAAATTTAGATATATTTTAAAAAATTTCTAAGGCCCGACCCCACCCGGCCCGAATTTTTTTTTAAAATATACCGAGCCGGGTACGGGCCTGGTCTACTTTTGCAGATCTCTTAATTATACTATCTACTTATATCAGTAATAATTATTTGGGGTTTTAGGTGGTACTGTATATTTTAGTTGACAAAAGGTAAAATTAATTATAGAGGGAGGGTAAAAGTTTTTAGAGAAGTAGGGGAAAAAGTTTTTAGAAAGAAGAGTAGAATAGGTTTTATAGGAAAATAGGGGATAAAATTTTTCAAGGGAGCCAAATTGTTAGTAAGTATAGAGGTGTATAAGCCTCTAATGCGAACAAATAAAACAAATTAATCGCCTTTTACAGTGATTTTACTGCATAACCCATGATTTTGTTCATTTAGCTACAGTTAGCCGAACTGGAAGCCTCATTATTTAATATATTTGATGAATCTTTATTTATAAATTAAAAAAAATACTATTCTTTGATACCCAGTTTATAAAAGTCTTTTGTATTGATAATTTTTAAATATAATATAATTTTAAAAAATTACAAGCTTTTTATTTATTTTATTATTATCTCTACCTTCGCATATTCAAGTCCATTCGTTATTTAATTAACATACTTTTTTGGGAAAAATATAATATCATTTTTATCTATTATAAGATAAATATTATTCATTACTTTTAAAATATAGAATAACTTAAATATAAGTCAAAAATTTTCTGTCATTTCACAAATTGTTTTCTTTAAAATAATATTAAAGATAGATGATTAAAAAATATTAATTATACTCTTAATAGCTTGTATGAATGAAATATGTAATTTGAAAAGGTGCATCTCAGTCTTCTCAGTCCTCCTCCCCTCTGTTAAGTTTGTATTTCTGGCAGTATAAGTTTCTGATATTTGAGGGATTGGAAGATATGGTAGGGTATGGAGAGAAATAATATGAAGTGACGAAAGGAAAGAGCAAAAGGATGTAATGTCATAGAAGGATGAAGTGGAAAGAAACTAAAAAAATTAAAAAGTTGAGAAGAAAAAGTGAAAGATGTATGTAAAGGGAAATGAATAAAGTATATGATAAAAGATATGAAGAGAAATGTGAAAGAGATCGTAATGGCGGAAAAAAAGTATAAAAAGATTGTGGAATATCATATAGGGACGAAGTGAAAAAAAGATATCTTCCGGTATAGTTTTAAGAAAAAACAATGGATTGTTTCTAGTTGATTAATCAAACGTGGTTAATAAAAGAATAATCAGGAATTGAATACACGGTGTCGTTAGATGTAGAGGTCCGAAAAATGAAGCATATTAATTATGTCTTGGCGTGTAAAATTGTTTATTAGATATCTTCTTTTTTGGGTAATTTATTACCCAACTACTTTTCAAATAAATCTAGATACAGATACTCTTCTAAACTGAATATAGTTAGAGATAGAGATACATCGTCTAAAAATGCATCTTTATATTGGAAGATTTTTTAGATACTTATAATTATGTAATAATTTAGAATTCTATTATTAACATTCAAATTTTTAAGTGAGCTAAAAAAAAATTTATTAAATTTTTAAAAAATGGCTAACTCAATATTTTGTCCAGAAAAGTATTATGCAAGCCTAAATATTTTGCTAATTGATGGTACAAGATATCTATTAGAAAAATCTCGAGGCAAAGTCTTTTCATTATTTGATCACTTATTGAAAATACTCAAAATTTTGTTATTAAAATTATCGGAATATTTGATTCGATTGAAATTATTCGATAGTTGAAATTATTTCTAAGTATATTCATATTTTTAAAAAAAAATTCCATCTTTTGATCAATTTTGTTGAATTTTGATTTCTCTTATTTTTCAAAATATAAATAAAGAATTTCACTTTCGAATCGAATATTAATTTTATTATTCGTACAAAACGAATAATACAGTTATTTTGAATACGAATAATACAGTGCAAATATTTGATTAGATTCGTATTTTGTCGTCCAAATATAATCGTCGTATCTGAATCTAAAAAATACCATGACATATACCCTTATATTAATTTACACTGACATATTTGTTTAATATTAATACTTTTTCTAAAAATTGATTTTAGTAAAAATATGTGTACGATTGAGATCAATTAAATTTTAACTTGAAAGTTAGAAATCATGGATGGATAATATAAAATCAGAATCTGTTTAAGTTTGAATTTGAAGAAGTTTCCGACTCTGGGAGGAAAAAAAATTAAAAGTAGAGCCATTCTTCGGGCTTAATTCAGGCTCCACCCGAGGAAAATTTTCCCAACCAACCCAATCCGAGTATTATTATTTTTTTCAAACATGCAACTCCTATCTGAAATTTTATTAAAAATATAAGGATCCTGACTGTTGAAAAAGTACTATATTTTGATAAAAGCAGTGGTTGGATAATTAACTTTTAACCTAACATACGAGCCAATTATTTTTTTCGCGGAAGCCAAATATTTCTAAGATAAAATTTACATCTGATAAAATTTATTCATATATTTATTTAGTGATAAAAAAAATTATATTATATGTATATATATATACGGTTTAAAATCATATATGGGACATAATTAGAATATATTAAAAAAAAAAGAGTTTATAATATACAATGTTGTGTTCCACGAGACATTTTTAAATATAAAAAAAATAGCGTTTAAATTTTTATAAGTTATTATATAAATTATGTATAAAATATAAATTGACACGGATTTTCTAAAGAAAAAAAAAAGTGGCGTATATTATATAATAATTTCTAATAAATCGCCATTTAATTAATATCAACTTTATAAATTATATTATAATGCATAGAAATGTTTTAAGTTTTAACTATCAATTCGGCATTTTATAAGAGATGTTTAATAAAATAATAACCATAGTTTTTAATTTTGTTTGTTGCTTTTTGCATAGGTGATTTTTTGGAAATTTAAATAGGAAGGAAAACTTAAGTGTTTTCTATATTTTTTACAGATCATTTACATTTCAATAAGAATATAGTCATAATGAATAGTGTATAGGTTCTTAATAATCAGACAAACTTAACATCTAAATAATAGGTAATCAAGGAATGTTTTGTAGAAGACATTTTTTTTACTAAATTACACGAAGACCTTAAATTTACATAGTTTTATTTTAAATCGGCATAGTTTATTTTGTTTTTTTTGATAGAAATTTGGGATTTATATTTAATTTTTCCATTTTGCATTTTAGATTTGGTTTTAGAAAAAAAATTATTGTTTAGTCCCGTTAATGCACAATTTAATTTTTAAATTTATATATTATTTTAAAATAATTTTATTATCTTTTTTTAAAAAAAGAAATAATAAATTATTATATATAAATGCTTTAAAAAAAATATTTCCATTTTATCAATTTTCTATTTCAAGATTTAAACCAAAAAAAATAATATTCAAAATAGAAGTTAGTCAAAAAAAAATAGGTGTTAAAAATAAAATTGAATTGCATAAAAAAATTATTCTAATTCGATTATCAACATTTTTAATTTTTGGGGAAAGCGAGATGGAATTATTTGCACTTGTAATTTGGTATAAATAAGACAAAACTTTATAATTTTGTTTTTTAAAAAACTAGTTTATAAATTTTGTATAAATAAATTGGAATAAATTTAATTTTAAGGAGTATATTATATAAATTAGTCCATTGATTTATTGTCTCTAAAATGTTACGTGTCTTATGTCACCGATATAAATTCACTCTTTTTAATTTCCATATTAGGTGCCGCATCCTGACTCATCCGATAAAGTTCCTCCTGTGATTTAAAACAATTTATCCTTTCTTTTTTCTGACTTTCACTTGCCGTATTTCTTTCGTCACGTTCACGCATACCCTCGATTAATAAAGAAGATGCCTTATCAATTTCCGCGGACTCACTACGATCTTCCTCTTTTATTTTCTTATCAATACCATGTTCGACTTCCAGATGTGGGAGGCTTTGAATGGGTAATAAATTGCTTGAAGGCAATTGTGAGCTACTTGGATTTTCAAATGCACTGGCAGTGTTAATTTCTCGGTCGCTCGAGCCCTTGAGACTTTTAGCAACTGTTTGTCTTCCCATTGCGTCTTTAAGTGGTGAGTAGAACAAGGGTAGAGCCATATCAGAGACAAAATCGGCCCTAGCCAATTTTTCTAGATCCTTGAAATCGGGGGTCTTAAAATTAGTGTCATCATTCTCGCCTTTATAATGACTAAAATAAATTTTATAATACATTTTATATAATAAAAAAAAATAAACTTAATTTCTTCCATGTTTAAAAAATATCTAACAAATAAAATGCTCATATTCTTTTTTTTCAAACTCAATTTATTATAAGTTTTTTAAAAACCTGTCATTAGAGTCGGTCATATTCATGGACCGATTACACATTTTGCGAAATTCTGCATCTTTATTAGTAGAATTCGACAAAACGCCATCGTACAAACTTTCGAAGTTGTGTGCAACATTAAGGGTCGGAAGCGAATTCTTTATTTGAGAATGCATTTGGGAAATCCCGCCAGCTCTTCTTCCACAATTAGCTAATGGGCATCCCGATATGCTATGTAGGATTTAAAGAAAATAGATGAAAAAAAATCATTTTGAAATGATATTTTGGCATAATATATTACAATGAAATTTTAAAATTTGAATAATCCAAGATAAAAAATAATAATATCAGATATCAATTGGAAAATTTGTGTAGAATAGCGGTTTACCTTCTATGGCTTAAGTATTTGCCGGTAGCATGACCTGATCCATCGCATCCTACAGTAGGACACCTAAATTAATAAGGAATGATAAATATTTATATATACTTACGTTTATAAAGCTGTGCAAACACTATATAATATTAATTATTTAACGTTCAAACCAAAACGCAAAGAGCAAACATAACATTGTACATTATATTATGTACAAGTTGTTATATAAAAATTATCACTTAAGTATATCGGTTGGAGATGAAACAGATACCATGATAGAATTATTATTCGACACAATGACTCCCTGTTTTAATCTGTCCGCACCTGCTAAATAGTTTATTTCCTCGTTCGGGTTACTATCGTTCGAACAATTTGATTTAACTTTGGTAGAAACAATAACACTAGAGCTATTGTCAGCTTGAAGAGTGTTTAATTTAAAAGATGCTGATAATAGAGGAAGCTCCTTGTCGCCGGATAAACTATGATTTTGTCTAAGGAATGAGTTATTGGATTGTTGAATTTGCAACTGTTTCCTGCGAAAAACTGAAGCAGCCGCTAATAAAGGGCATCCTGAGGCGCTTCTATGGGAAGAATAATTACCTGTCACATGGCCGCTACCGTTACAGCCTGGTGTGGGACATCTATTAATTTAATTAAATGATATAATAGTTTAAATAATTAGAATTGTAATCTAATATTAATTCATCATTTGGGAACGACTTTACTTGATAATCTTTTATTTGGTGTTTAAAATGTAAACTGATGATAAATCGGTGTACTACAGGGCTACTCTTAAACAGCAACCAAAATTAGGGTGATCACGGGAAGGCCTAATTTTTAAGAAACCATCAAGATTCACTATCATCCCAACGTTATATTATAATTATAGATTTCAGTCAGAGATTGGCAAATTTTTAAAAAAAATGTATTCAAATACACACTTCAAAAAAAGTATTTTAGTAAAAATAAAAATATGTTTTAAAAAAATATATATTAAATACCTATAATTTTTCTTAACTATAACATTTTTATTATAGAATTTTAGAAAATTCTAATAATTATGATTTTATCCGGAGTGGCTAATGTTATTAAAAAGCCCGATTTTAAAAACAGGCCCGATTAAGATTATTACCAAAATAACTTTATGTAAGCCTAAAGATTTTGCTAATAGCTGGTAGAAATGCTTGGACATCTATTTGCAAATCTCGATGCTTATATAATATTATTTTGTCTAAAATCTTAGTGGAGCCGTTTTGAAAATCGACCTAAATCGGGCTTTTTAACAACACTAGCAATGGCAATGATACAGACATTATAATAATATATTTATTGTTGCAGCAGTAGCATTATCACATAAATTAATAATCAAATATAGTTAGTATACCGTTTTACAGAGAATATTATAAATTGCTGGAAGATGAAATCGCTACATTTATGTTTTTGGTTTTATTTTTAATTGAGCAGATAATTATTTCCATATATTATTGATTTTTAATATTTTCAAAAGTTATTCAAATTACATTTATAGGATGGTGACGTTGTAGCAGAATCCCCGCAAAAATATCTTATAAACGTAATAGTTTCATAAAAAAAACCTTTTTCTTCAATTACTATATCTTCCGCATCTTCATAAAAGGTTGTATTTTAGCTTTCAGTATTACTCATTTAAAAAATAAAATCGATTTCAAAATTGAAGATGTTATATTTTCGCTAACTGATCACAAATTATATATATTTATATTTTATAATTCAATTTAAATTTTAAAAAAAGTATTTGCATCTGTATTCATCTGAAAATCGTGAAATCGTAATAAATACAAAATATTTTTTATTTTTTTTATAACATATTAAAATAAATATTAAATACAAATACAAAAAAAGTATCTGTATTAAGTATTTTAAATATAAGTATTCGTATTACTGCCCAACTCTGGTTTCATTGTTAGCATTAGAAAATAGAATTTAGAGCAATGCTGTTTAAAAATAAAATTCATTGACCTAAATTTAGAAATTACAATGGAATATTTTTAAAACGGAAACTGAAGAATATCTAAGATACGAGATGACGATAGAATAAAAAATTTAAAATTTAGTGTTTATATATCTATTATTAAAATAACCAATAAACTCAAAAAACTTTACCAGCATGAACTTATTGGAAATACCGCTAATTTTTGAATCACAGAATCTTTCAAATTTTCAACTATTTTTAACCAAACCAACAATTTGATAGCAAAATATAACCATGATTTAAATCAATCCTTCCCTGATAAAGTTTTTTGATATCGAGCAATTTTCTCCTTGATATAAAAATAAATAAATATTTATATTAGGGAGTGGTTCATTAAAAGCACTATGCATTATGGATTATCACTTCTATGAAATATCAGAATTCATTTTAAAAATTTTACACACGGCCCAAAAAATTTTAGACGTTATCCGGCCCGACAGTAGATATCTGATCAAGAGCAAGGTTATTTAATTTAGCAATGATATATTTTATATTAATGATAATCCTTTATAGCCCGAGCTATAGAAAAATAAAATATAATATTTAATAATTATTAAATTTTTTATGGGGTCAAATCGACGCAGAGTATTTTTCTAAAAGTATTATTTTGAATTAACGCTATTATAATTTTTTATATATAGTTTTGGTACATTTATGCAATATTTCCTTCAATTAATAGCGTGCAATAAAGTTATTTTATATTATGTCTTAATTTATGCATATCTAATCTATGAAACAATAATTTATATATATAAAAATTATAAGGGGCCTTATATAGTTTCTTTTCGAGATGGTCCCGAGACTGTTACACATCTGTTAATATATAGTAGTTATTTTTACAGTGTATAATAAGAGTAGACATTATTTTCCGGGGGGAGGGGGCAAGTAACATTTTAAAAATAATTTTGGTTTTTACACTCTTTTAAAAGTTTTTTCTCTAAAAAAGTTCAATAAAATGTAACTCTGAGTTTTTAATGTTTTTTGTAGGAACATGCAAATAATTTTTATTAAAAAATGACCCGTACTTATTCAAGGAACTCGAAGAAACGCCGGGCAATATGTCTTGCTCCGATGTTATATTGACGCCATAGGTGTTGTTAATTATATCATACGGATCTGAATAAGATGGGATGGATGCGGGAGGGAGGTAGTTGTTGGGCGTCAATGGGTTATAATAACTCTTTTTGCCACCTTTCTTAAAGTGCTCAGATAGATCTTGATAGGAGTTTTTACTTAAGAGTCCCTTAAGAGATAGTGGGTCTAACTTGTACCCATTGTTTTCTGCAGACCTCCTTTCTCCTTCTTCCGATAGCAAGTCATCCTTTACTTTATCACTGGGTGACTCTTTAAGGGAGGCAGAAACAGGATTGTTTAGGGATTGAGTAGATCTACTTTTAGTTGAATTATCATAATTATTTATCGTTGGATCTAAATAACCAAAGGGATAGAATGAATGGTATGGGAAAGTATTGTTGTTCCAAGGGTACAAGCCTGGTTGGGCTAGGGCGTTGACGCCACCAGGTATTAATAAGTTTTTCGTGTAATTGTCGCATAGTTGTTTTTCGTTTTCCTTTTCATACCTCGTATGCAATTCTTCTTCGGGACGTTGACGGGCACATATTTTGGCTTTTTCTTCCTGGCTATCTAGACCTGGAGAACTATGTTGACTTTTTCTATAAAAACATTTTTTTTAAATGAACAAAAAAAAAGTTATTATTGAATATTTTTTACTATCAGAAATTAATATTAAAAAATATATTTGTCTCCCTCAACAAATGATGCAGATAGAAATCCTGAAATCCCTATTTTCCAACCTTATAGGATTTTCCATCCTACGCTTATCATTCTTTTCATCAATTAAATAGTTTATCTTTAACCTCTTCTTAGTCTTTTCAGATGAAGAGAGATCCAAGGGCGATTCTTGAACTGATAAAGCTAGTTGAATTGTTTCCTCATTTTTATCATCCTTCTTTCTGACATCGGGCTTTGGATGCAAGTTAAATCTACTATAATAATCATAGTAAAGGTTATAGGGATCGTTTACATGATCTGTTAGACGATTATCATCAAATTCGCTATTTTTATTAGAAACCTTGCCATGTTTCCTCTCATGCTTCTTTTTTTTAGTTGCATCGCCTGTGTTGAAATATTTTTTGGGCTCATTGCCCTCATTATTGTTGTAATGGGCCAGCAAATCTGGATATTTGAGGTTACCATGAAAGTAAGGGTTAGCTAGCAGATAATAGTAAGGATTGTGCATAAAGGGGTAAAAATAGGAGGGCGGAAGCCCCAAAGCAGGTTCCCCGTCAGGAGAAAATTCGTTTGAGGAATAAGGATATATCAAATTCTTAGATTTTTTGTTTAAGTAACCAGCTTGTTTCCACCAAGATAGAGCGTAATCTGTCATGTCCTTACAACTCTTATTGTTATTCTGAGAATCTGTTTCATCTCTGTATCCATTATTATCCGCCAAAGCGTTAGGGGATGACATTTTGTCGTTTTCTTGTTGATGCAAATCCAAAGAATTATTATATGAACTATTTAACTTCTCGCATTCTAGGGCTTCTTCATTAGAAGACTCTGACAATCCTCTAGAGTCGGGGCCTTCATTTCTATCTTTGAACCGTTTAAATCCTTCTTCCATTGAATATTGGGCTTCATCTAATTGTGGGTAATAAGGATTTTTGAAATGAGGGAAAAATGATGATATAGTTTGGGAGGCAGATAATAAATAGGGGTGATTGTAATCGTAAATGGGTGGAATACCAACTTGATTCCATTTGCTGTCTTTAGAACATGCTTCTTTAGATCCATGATTTTTTAGCTGAGGTTCTATATTTGACTTTAAATCCTTCATGTGATCATCTTTATGATTGGTCGATAACAATGTCTCGTCTTTACTAGTTGGAGAGTATTTACCATTATAACCAGAAGAACCCTTTTCATTGAATTCTTGTTTAGAGAAGATAATTGCAGGTGGTTTAACTCTTTTATTGGAGGTTAAATCTTCAGAAAAATTGGAATGGCTCGTAGTCTTAATGCTAGATGTTGCCCATTCCCTATTAGAATCTCCTATCAGCATCCTAGAACGCGTTTATTTTTATATTTCAATTTATATGTATAATATAATAAAATTGAAAGTCGATTAGCGATAAAATGATTATACTCATGTCCCAGTTTTAAACTGATAACTAAATTAGAACTTTGTATTTAAGTAACCTGAAATTGTTTTCATAATCTTAATGATAATTGTCTTTAAATATAGCTATTTGATTATTGAGGTTTTTTTAAAAAAAAAATAGATAGGTATTATGATTATCTATATAGGACCCTAACTAAAACTATTTGTTTTAGGGTAATGGGGTGAGGGGCATAATTCTTAATTAGTGAATAAGGCAATATTTATGCGAAATATGATAATCATATATAAATAACTTTTTAATAAATAATGTATGTAAAGAGCATGAAGCGCAAAAAAAAACAATTATGAAAATTTCGCGAAAGAAGAGAAATTTTTTAATAGGAAGTTTGACCCCCAAATGACCCTGTAGACACGGTCCTATAGATATTATGTGTAAAAATCAAATTTTGGTTTAAAATAAATAAATATCATTATTCCCATATTTAATAGCTATTTTTAATTTTATCTACATATATTTTAAAAATTTGAAAGTCGATTTTATTTTTAAATAAAAACGGAAGTAGAGTATTCCAATTTTCTTTCGACAACAAAGTAAAAATCAAATATTTCAAAAATCGAAACAGAATTTAAAGCTTTTGCTTTTGGTTCATTTTAATAACTTTTCTAAATGACATTTTGATTTTTATTATTTTTTTTAGTTTGTATTTTGTTTTTACTTTAGATCGACGCTCTGCTTAGAGTTTGAATTAGGATCTTCATTTCCATCATCTATACAACATTTTTTTTAAATAATAATAATAGGATATAAAAAATGTTTTTGGTTTTTACTAATTTGCTAATTTTTTATAATTAATATGTATAATAATATATATACTTGAACCATAGGAATTACAAGAATTGTCGTTTTTGGAATATTTATTCCAATCGTTTGATTGACTTAATGATGGATTTTCGAATTTGTGCCCATATGACTCATTTTTGATATTTTCATGTAATTTACCAACTTTTTCGCCAAGCGAGGGCGAATCGTTCACACTGGATACCAGAAACTTGTTAATAGCAGCCAAAGGACATCCAGCGAGACTTTTAAGTTTAAATAAAAACTATATTAAAAAAATATATATATAATCTAATTAAATATTTCTTAAGATTTATGATTGTTTTTTTTTAAATATTAAACCTTTAATTCCACTCCACACTCTACTTTCCTCCAAGAAACTAACGCAAAAATACCTTGTAGGTAGTTTTGTCACTCAATGATTCAAGCTTAAAAAATTTTACGCAAGCCTCGAGTTGTATAGATGACAGAAAGGTTTGATTCTTGACCAAATCTCTAAGATTTATGTATTATTTTTTGGCTTTGATTTAACAGTTTCTTAAAAATCGGTTAAATTGAGGTTTTCGACAATACTATTTGTGGATTATTAATACTCAATAAGGCGCAGCTTATTATCGTTATCATTAGAATCAAAGCCCAGGCCAATGCTAACTACAAGTTTAAATATGAATTTCTTATATAATATCACAAAATATAGCATAGCAACTTATTATTTAATATTAAAAAAATTTTTAAATTACGCTGTTGAATCTACCCTTACCCCCCTCCCATACACAAAAAAAGTATTCTTACCTCCAAATCTTCAGGCCTCGTTTTCCAATTTATAAGGCCAACTGGAAATGTATATTTGCTTAGATATTTAAATTTAACTTTTTTTCCATTTCCCTAATAATACTCTATATAAGATCAATATTTAACCGGGAAAATGGTGCTTTATATTCTTTATGTACATATATATCCTTTTTATTTTGCAATATATGCACAAGGTCCACGAAATATAAAATAAACAAATGTTTTTGAATCTCATATAACGTATAGTAACTATGAGAATATATAATAAATATGATTTTTTTTTAGATATCGTATTTTAAATTTAAGATTGCTTTTACAGTTTTTAAGAACAAGATTTAAGTGTTGATTAAAGCTTAAAAATTTTTTATAAATTAACTTAAGGAATCTGATCTATTTTTCATATAATTTTCTATTTTTAATTAAATAAAAAAATTTTTAATATTTATATTAGGTATGTATGACCAGAAGAAGTCAAATTTCTGTGGTATCCATAATTAATTTTTTTTTTAGCCCCATCAAGTTTTTTAACCGGGGCCCAAATAAAATACTCGAATTTTTTATTCGTAATTTTATATACCTTATATTTCGTAAATTATTTCATGAGCAGCAAATGAATGTTATATGATCTTAACATAATTTAAACTAGATAATTAATATAATTTTTTAAAATTTTTAATCAGCCTAATCCTTATTGTTAAGCCAGCCATGATTTTTTCAATGCTATTTTGTGGCCAGCTCCGAGTTGGGTTCCGGGCTCGCAGGTATCTGGTAAGTATTTTAAAATTCGATCAAAATTAAAATGTTTAAATATTATCGATTATAATATTACCATATAAAATTCAATTATTATCTTTCTTTAACAGGCTCAATTTTTTTTAGGCCTGAGCCCGACTTAGGACCAGGCCGGAGCAGGTATACTCTAACATATAATTTTAAAGAAAATATAGTTATATTATATTTGAGCGATTTGTGTCCCTTTTCACAATTAGATATTTTTTAATAACACTTCCGAGTTCCTAATATCACATTTAAATAGTTTAATTATCAGTTATTTTATGGTCAAATTTTTTAAAAAACATTTTCAAAAATAATTGAAAATTAAGTTTAAAATTACGGATCGTTATTATTATATAAATATAAAATTTATGTCTATAAATTCTTCTACGAACTCCAGTCTAATTAAACAATTTAATAAGAATATTCCTTAAATATCGAATTATATACATACTAATTGTTATCTCCAATTTACTATTATAATATAATTAGATTTTTTTTACCTTCGATGAGAAATGCGATTCGTATTAACGTGACCCTTACCATTGCAGCCAGGTGTAGGGCACTTTAAAACGGAGTTAGATTCATACATGCTGTAAATCAAGGAATGAGCTTCTTCTTCCATGGAAGAAATAATAGGGGAATGATTAGATGTAGCTAATAATGGGATAGAGGAAATAACCGAAAGCTGCTGGAAGTCGCTTAGTGCAACACTGTCTTCATTGATATCCTTATTATAATTTTTACAATTTGTAGAGGTATCGCTCGTTGTTATTATCATAGATTGAGAGGAGCTACTGAGACATTGAATTTTGGGTGATGACGCGAGTGAATTGGTAAGTCTTTGCCTGAGGTTGGAATTAAAATCCCTGTATACGGAGGCCTTTGCCTTGAGAGGGCAACCAGAAAGGCTCCTGTGATGGTCGTATAACCCTGTCACATGGCCTGTACCGTTACAACCAGGCCAGGGGCATCGGTTGGAAGTAAATGTTGAGGCGGGGGTCGTAGGTGTTGACGTAATAGGCTGACTTATAGTGAAATTAAGGGTTGCCGTTGATATGGTGGATGTAGGGCAAGAGGTGTTATCGGAATTCGATGCTGGATAATTGTAAAATTATTATAATTATTGAAAGGTATAAGTTATATATTTTATCAAAATAATTTTAAAAAAAAATAAAATAGAATTTGTTATGTTTAAAAATTTCAAGTTTAATAAGTTATAGAAAAAAAAGTTTCTTTTTTGCCAACAAAAAGTTAAATATATTAGACATCGAAATAATATTATATCAAAATTTGTTTTTCGTAATATTATACTTCTTTATGTATACAGAACAAGAATTTATAAATGTAAATTAATATATAATATACTATTTAATTTTCAGATAGTCGTTTATTATTGACTCAAAAAAAAAAGAAGTAAGTAAATTTTGTAAATTTTGTAAAATTTTAAACTTTGTTTAAATAAGTTAGCTTATAATTTAATTATGTATTATTTTAGAATATTCTAACAAACTAAGCCCATTTTTAATTTTATTTTTTGGTTAAAAATTGTCTACTAAAAAACACTAAGGCATTACCAAATGCCAAAATCTATATTTTAAAAAAAAACAAAAAAGGATGTCCAAGCTGCTTTTTTGAATTAAATTTAGAAATGAGAACAAAAATTAAGACGCGCCAGAAACAGCCTAATAAAGTTTTATAAAATATAATAATCGGTGATAAATATATTTTTTCTGTTAAAATCCAAAATAGATTGAAGATTACTTTTTATATTACCCTTTGATGTTCAAAGCTAATTTTCTTTTAGATGGGCAATTATCATTTTAATATATTATTGATTACGAAAAGTAAACAAGTTGGCATAGCCTTTTATTGTATACATACTCGTTTAACAGATCGGTTTATAGGATAGAAAATTCGAACCATCTAATTCGGTTCAGGGAAAAATAACAGGTTTATGGTTCAGATTCGGTAGGTAAAATTAATAATACATGTTAGATTTGAACCTTTAATTCGAATCTTTTCGCATATTTAGAATTTGGTAAGGGGAATTACATTTTTTTAAATATAAATAGCACCTTATATTAGTATATTTTTACAAAAATATTGTTTATGATGACATACTATATCAATTTTTGGAAGATGGGGGTGGAAGGAGTGTTAAGGGAATTTTTTTTATTAATTAATGATATATTTAGTAGTGATCTGCATCAGTCCTAATTTCCTAAACCCGGCCCTTCCCAAAATTTTTTTATAAAATTTGTCCGGCCCGGCTAAATCACAAACGAATTTATTTTTTATTTGTCCCGAAAAGCCCAACCAGAAATAAAAATTATTTTCCCGCCCGGCCCGAAGTTTTTTAAATATAGAAAATATTAATTTTTTTTTATTGTATAAAAATATATTCTACAAATTAAAAATATTAGCGTCTTGTTTCCAGCAAGAATTTTAAAATATATCTATTTTATTGAGAAAATGTAATATCATATTTAAAAATTTAAGCCCGACCTGGCGCGGCCTGAATTTTTTTAAAAATATTGGGCCTGACCCAGCCTGAACTTAAATTATTTTTTTAAAATAGACCATTTTCAGATTTCTAATATTTAGTGTTGTCAATTAAAAACGGCTACCTCAATATTTTAGCCAAAAAATATCGCGCAAGCCTGAAAATTTTTTACAAAGATGATAGAATCGTTTGAACATCTATTAACAAAATCTCGAAGCTAGCATAAAATAAGGTCAAAATCTTAATTTAAAATTGGCTAAATCGAGTCGTTAAACAATACTAACTTACAAATTTATATCCTTGGTTATGCCATTGATACTTATATATGCCATACTGGGATATGGAATTTATGGGGATTCAGAATCTTGTAATTTTTATTCATTTACTGATGGCAATTTTTGAGTTTAAAAAATTAGATTTGATCGAAAATGTATTCCATCATGTGCGGATTACCCAAACTGTGAATTTCCGACAATTTTGTCGTGAACTTTTGATCAATTATTTTCTATTCATTTTTCAATAAATTTTTTATATAAATGAAAAAAATATATAAAAGTTTATGGCAAAATAACTCTTAGAATATATTTCCAATCAAATCTAATAATTACCATATAAAAATCGTTATCAATAAATTATTAAAGCTCAATAATTTTGGTAAATCCATATCCCAATACGACATATACATCCAAAATCTTTTCAAAAAAGTGGAAAATACCTGGGATAAATAATTTATTCCTTTAATATTAAAAAAAACAAAAAAAAACAAATTTTAACAAAATTAACTTAAATAACTTAAATAATTTTAAAAAATAAGGATTTAATTGCTATAGTAAGAGAGATAATTGATTACTGGTTTTCCTGTTCTGTATATATTATTAATGATATCACATTCCCTGTCTCTAATATATTATAACTATACACTATTACATTAAGATTGAATTGAATTATTATAAGAGTTTTATCATATTAACATTAAATATAAAGCATTTTAAACAAATTTTATTCATGAATAAATAATTATATTTAAATTTCTGTATATTTCTTGATATAAAAATAAGTTGTTTTTTTTGTTATAATTTTCACATTCATCTTTAAATTTTTAATGCGAATTTTGTATAATATTATAGTATAGTGTAACTAACATTACAAACTTTGCGTGCGTGATTATGTTAAATTTTATTTCTATTTTTGACACTAAAAATTTAGATCTTTGTTAGATTTTTGGTTGTTTTAGTATTATATAATTTTATTTTTTGATTTTGTGCGACGAATTTATAAAAAAAAATTCTAATATATAATATTATTAAGTTCGAATAAAATGTTAATCCAAGTTGGATCAGATTAGAGTTTAATAGATCGGGAGTTGGGTAGGTCGTCCAGAGAGATTAGTTTATGTAAATAATTATTAGGAAACGAAAGCAAAAATTATTTATTTTTAAATTAACTTTTCTAAATATTAAGTTTCTCAAAATCGGCAAACTCGATTTAACCTCGAAGTGCTTGCCGATGAAAATCAGCCAAACCTCGATTCCAAAGTAGTATTGTTCGGCTTAAACCTTGATGCAGGATTTTGGCTAAAAACTCAAGTAAGCCGTTTTACAATTACACAAAATTGGCTTATGTAAAAAAGTATAATCCAGACAAATTGAGATTATTGCTAATAAATATTTGTAAAAATAACAGGGACCCGAACCGTTATTTATAACGGTTCAGTTTGGTTGCGGTTCAATATGTAAAAAATTATAATGGCTACGTTTTGGTTAAGGTTATTAAGAAAAATTTATAAAGGTTCGGTTCGGTTCAGCTAATTGTAAAGGTTTATAATGGTTCATTATGGTTAGATATTTTTTTTTATTGAAGCAATACATACCATCGTCTAATTTATTTTTATTATATGCATCTATGAATTATATATAAAAAATATATATAAGATTCAAAATAACTCATCTTTAATATATTATTTGAAGTCATAAGTAATATATTTTCTAATATATGGATTTATTTGTTCCTTATGACGATAACTCAAATTCTAGCCCTGAAAAGACCCTTTCTACAGAAACTTGTATTGCGGGAACCGCCATTACTATAAGAGCAAGTTTATATAATTCTGGATATTCAAATTTTTTCGATTCCTAAAATATAAAAACTGAACCGGTTTGAACCGGTTTAACCTTTTTTATAAGGGTTATTTCTACTCCTTCTTTACGGTTCACTCCGGGTCCCTGAAAAATAAGCACAAAATAATTTTAATATTTTCAGTAAAATGCTATGCATCCAAAAAGATATATGAAAAACATTAAACAATCCCGTAAAAATAAAATAAACAACCATTTTTTTTATGGCTGTTAGACTATATTATAACTCATTTTTATTAAATTTTCAAAAATATTAAAAAGATTTTTTAAACCTAATCCCCCGTTATTTTTAGTCCTAAATTTGCGTTTTTTGGGTATTTTGCCCGCTGTTGATATTCCGTTATGGGTTTTTTTAACATCCATATCCATCATTGGGGCTGTTTGGCCCGTTCTAAACAAGAACTGATGGAACGGTTCTATACCTGAATACGGGTAAGGAAGCCTGTTTTCGCTGCTTTCAAAGACTTCACGAAAAGATTTTAATATAGCGTCTCCGTAAAGAGGAAAAGCCGCGGCTATGTGTTTCTCCCAACTATTATTATCGACTCTTTTCATTTTTAACTCATTCTCCCCTAACGAATCCATTATTTCTTGGCTGTTCATCTCCTCGGACGGTGATTTATTTATTAAAGATTTATAGGTGTTAATCGTTTGATTAAAATCTTTATCGTCAATTATGGTGCAGTCTAAACGGGTGGAGAGCGGCGGTGTTCTAGTTATTATTGCACTACTGGTTTCATTAAATTGTTGATTTAATTTTAATGGATCGCTGTTCATTTGGTCATTGGATGATAATTGGCTTGTGGGTTCAAGACTCTTCCTTTGGCCTAAGCGGCTATCATAGGCGCGCGGCATAACGTCTTGGATGGGATAGCTTAGTGCGTATATATAATATATATAGTGGTTTATAAAAAATATAAGAAATTGGCTTAATTTTTAAAATTAAATTTTTTTTAAAAAAAAACTAGTTGAATGAATAGGTATCAAAATGATTTGACAATCATTTTTCTTATATTTTAAAACATTTCTTTAGTTAATCTCTTGCATTTTTATAAATAGAAATAAAATTATTTAAAAAAATGAAAAAACTTATAAATTATTTAAAAATAACCATCCTCTCTCGAATAAGAATAACAACAAAAAAAATTCATCATTATATTACACATTTTATAATTTCTTTTGGACACATCACAGAATTATTGATATATATTTACTTATATTTATTATATTTTATACTCTCATATAAATAACTAAGGTAATAATTACTATATAAAAATATTATTATATATAAAAATTTTTTTAATTTTCCCAAAAAAGAAAGAAAATGTATTAAGATTGATCGATTCTCGTCGCTAGCTCAATTACTTATAAATCTTTTTTTTTAAATATAAATTAGAAATAAATTTTTTATTTATTTTTTTTTTGTCAAGCAAAAAGTAAAATAAAAATAGGATTTTTTTAATATTATTTATTAAGAGTCGCAAAAAAGAATATTTATAAATAAATAAAATATTGTATTATATGGCTTCAAAATTTAGCTATCTATAATAATAAACGTACATTTTTAAATTTTGGCAAGTTGGTAGATTTGTTGGGTATATTTAAAAAAAATTTTTAATATAGAAATAGTTTCAAAATGGAATGAATTAATGTTAAACTAACCTTTAACTAACTATTATTATATATAAATATTAACCTTAGCTCAAATCAGGTTTAGACAATATTACATTTAGGTAATATCTAAAATTAATCAAGCATATTATCAAATCTTTTGGCCCACCGTAAAAATTTTTTTGCTAGATTTAGTTAAAAAAAAAGTCAACCTTTTTTCTATTCACCAACTAACTGGGGCAAAATGGCAACTTTAAAATTTAAACTATAAAACACAAAATATTATATTTTTAAAAAAGAGAATAGATATTCATTAAAAATCAAAATTAATGAATCTAAGTAACATAGGCATTATCGGGATTTTACTAAAGGGGAACACTATAGGTGAGGTTTTTCGGGATTTTACTAAGGGGGAACACTATAGGTGGGGTTTTTTACCGTAATATTGGATAGCTTTAGTTAACTGCAGATCTTTGGCCGGGTTACATTTTTAAAAATTAATGTTTATTTCTTAAAATTTAATTAATTTTTAATTATTAACTTTTATTTATCTTTTTTTCAAACAATTTTAATGACTTGAAAAAGGGGGTAGGAAGTGTAGAATTATATTAGTTTAATTTAAAATAATATTAGCCAGCTTTCTCACTTTCCTGACTCATTATTAGCTGAAGCCCAGACCACATCTATGATTAAATTAATTAAAGAATCAATCATATGAATTTTCTAAAATGTTAAAGAGCCTTTTTGCGCTCCAAACCATCCATCAAATAAAAAATTGGTGAAAAAGAGCGAAAAAAAAGTTTTTGGTCAATATAATTTGAATGCCGAGCCACCTACTTTTAATTGAACATATGGAAAAAGGATTTATCTTTTTACTTTGCTTGCATATAGCCCCGCCCCCTCCCCCGCCATCTTTTTACCTAATTTATTTGTTTATTTCTTTTATACATGATTTTATTGAAACTAGTTTTCGAATATAATTTTTTCGTGGAAGAGATATTTTAAATAAATTTAATGCAGTAAAACATCCTCTACCTTTTAACGTGATTATTTGTGTCCATCCATGCAATGATTTTATTTTAGCTATTCTCTTCTCCTAAAGTTTCTCTTTAAATTTCCTAGATAACAATGGTTGGTTGATGGGGGTTGGGAACAAAAGGGTACTTAGCACACGCCCAAAATGTTTTCTACTTGGGCATAAAAAAATTTGATCGTGTGTTAAACAAAATGAACTTTTTATCAGGCTGACCCTAAATAATAAGAGTAAAAGACGCTCAGTTTTCTTCTTAGGATTTTTTAAATAATGGGGAATTTGTTCGATTACTGCTTGGAATGTTTATCAAAATTTCGAATTATATCTCTTAGGGCGTTTAGGCTATAAAGCTAACTCACGTGATTATATTATCAGAAAACTAATTTTGGCAATATAAATTTTGCCGGAATGTTAGTATTTATCAACCCCTGAAAAGCAGTTATTTATTAAATTTAAAAAAATTTTTCAAAATTTCTATAAAAATTTTGCCTATGGAACTTTTGTAATGGGACACCTTTTTTAAAAATTAATTTGTTGAACGAATTTTTTTAATGATTTTTTTTGACATTTTGTGGTATTTTTTAAAAAAAATTTAAATATAATAATTTTATTATTAAAATTTTTGATTTTATTACTTTTTTAAAATATTTATTACTGCACTGACTAACTAAATTATTATAATGAAACCTCCATAATGTGAATTCTTAAGGCCGATTAGTTTTAGTCAACCATAGATAGGTAGTTAATATACACTATGTTTATAAGCATAAAGGACTTTGGAGGGAAAGACTCGCCTTTGGTCAATAAGATTGGTTACTTAGGGAATTATGCTTATTATTAATTAAACTATATTAATATTTTTTATTTAGAAAAGTATCAAATTATACTTTTTTGAGAAAGTTTCTAATTTTTATAATAAATATTAAAAAAATTAATTTTTTTTATCGCTGTGGCCATAATAATAAGTTTAGTAGTTATAAAATATTCAAAAATTCATAAAATAAAATTTTTTTTATCTTTTAAATTAAAAAAAAAAATTATTTTTAATAGCTATATCATGTTCAGGAGACTATAAATATTCGCCATTTTGAAAAAATATATATTTAAATTGTCGCAATTATGAGAAAAAAAAGACTTTAAATCGTTTCGAAATATATAGGGGAAAAAATTTGAAAAAGTTGAATGTTGTTTTCTTAGTAACTTGCAAAAAAATACAATATTTTACCGTTACTCGTTTAGTTTTAAAAAAAGTAAAGCTTTAGTCCGTTATAGACGTTACACATTATTTTATACATAAATAAAAATTTTTTAGTGAATTTATATATGATGAATATAAGATCGTTTAAATCATGAGAGGCCAACTTTTTAGATCTGTCAAAGTATTTTTATTTATATAAAACGTAACATCAGTTAAATTGAGGATCGCTTATATGATTTTAACCCTTTTGACTTATGAATATTTTGAACATCTATAAGTGGTTGTATACTTAGTCTAGCCTAAATTTTTTGAGATAGTTGAATACCAGGATTATTGTTTTGGGATAAGGATTTTCTTCTAAGTATACAATATTCAAATAAATATGTCTTGGCAAAGATAGATCTACCATTTTCTTGTTTTCAAACCGGTCTTGCACAAATATTCCAATTTTTTCTTTGTGAAATAATCTAGCACCCGTGTGAAGGGATAAATGGGTAGGGTCGGTGACCAAAATTAGACTATTTTAAGAGCGGCCATTCAAAATAAAAAGGTTAATGATTTTGGCCAAATTCGGAATGGGAATTATTGTTTTATTACGTTCATTTAATTTAAAAAAGTTATAACTTCTATTTTAAATAAAACTAAATTTATATAATTTGTCAACTGTTTCCTTCAGATATTTTTTAGCTTAATTAATTTTATAAATAAATATATACATCAGATATCAATTCGAATAGCCTTGATAGGCCTACAAAAAAACGAATCGAATCGAATAATACTCTTATTCGTATTCGATTCGAAGCTATTCGTATTCGTACGAATAATAAAATCATTATTCGTTTCGATTCGATTCGAAAATTTTTATAAAGCTTATAAAAAATATATAATTTTTTTGCAAAAAAATTATAAAACAGATATAATGTTTTAAGATGACATTTTTAAGGATTCTCTCAACAACAATTTACAGAAAATAAACGAAATAAAACCAAATGATTTCATATAACGTTATCCAAACAAATTGGCAAAAAACGTCCGATTTATAGATTAGAATTGCTTATAAAAAATATTTAAATTATTTCTTCAATCTAATATACAAATTTTATTAAAATATTCTGAAAATATACAATAATTTCATTTTATAAACATCAAAATATAATACACAAAAAATATAATTATAATATATCTAAATTTGTTAATAACCAATTTTTTAAACATAACGTCTTTCTTATAGTATCCTCTAGAGACATCATATTCTTAAGTTCCTGGCAGATAAATAAATAAATTTTGACTAGTTCTTATTCTTTGATTAGGAAAATTCTTTTCCCATTTAGTAACCTTATTTTTTATCAAATTTTAAAGTAAATCATCTAATTCAGATAGTGTATCATAATCACTATCATAAAATCTTCATCACTATTAATTTGCCATAATCACTAACAATAATATTTTGAAGTTTTAATTGCAGTGGCTTAGCCAGAAATCTTAACACCAAAAATGATTAAATAAAGAGGAAGTATCAAAATAAAATAATTATATTTTTGTTTACTTTGGGTTTGGGGCTTTTCCTTTTCTTCCATTAAAATTTGACAGCAATTAATATAAGTTATGGATTTGATAAAGATAATAGGAAATAAAATAAAATGATATCCACTAGGAATATTTAATTACTTCTTTTTTTATTATACTTACAACAATTTACAAATACAAATAAAATATTTGCGAAAAATTACGAATATTTATATATAAATAATTTCGAATAATACGAATAATTTTCCTCATTATTCATATTCGATTCGAAATTTCGAATCGAATAATTGTGCTATTCGTATTCGTAAAATACGAATCGAATCGATTCGAATCGAATTTCGAATAACAAATAATTCGTTTTAGGCCTAGCCTTGATAAGGCTACCATAAAACGAAATGATGAGAAATACACTTATATCATATTTATATACATTCAAGACAACCCAAATGAAGGAGCAGCCTTCAGGGTAAAATACCAATTCTGAAAGCTAATTTTTTTAATAAAA